ATAATCAACCCTTTTGCTTTGGCAAAAAAAATCACTTACGATGGTCGTATTACAAACAATAAATATTTCAAAATAAAAACAACTTAACAATAAAATAAAACTCAACTACTTGATGTCATTTATACAACTAAACACTATGCTTGATAATAAAAATAAATTTGCATGAAATAAAAGAAGATGCCGGATATTACTTCAATCGGGCTTATTACATTCCACATCGAGTCACCAACATCCGATAGTGCGAGATCAGCGATCTAGCTTCAATTTCGAACCAAGAAAGCTATTTTCAGCCAAACTGAGTAAGCACCATTAAATCTTTACAAAACCCTTACCCCAAAATAATTTAGGGGTAACCCTAATTTCCCAACCCTTAGTATCTTTAGGTCAAAAGAGAGAGAGAGTAGGAGGCCTAGGGATAGTATCTTTAGGTCAAAAGAGAAAGAGTAGGAGGCCTAAGGATAGTATCTTTAGGTCAAAAGAGAGAGAGTAGGAGGCCTAAGGTTGGGGCGTGCCCTTATGGGTCTTAAGAGAGAGAGTGAGGCGTGCCCCTTGAGGAGAGAGATGAGAGAGAGAGCTGTGGAATAAAGGTGTAGAGAATAGGGGAGGGTACACCCCTATTTATAGTACAAAGTTAAGTATAGGGTTTTTTAAGGTTTCTCATAGTTTGCATCTTTATTGATATTGAACATGAACCGTTGATCAGGGTGACTTGTGGGGTGAGATATCCGAGCCATCAATTCCATAGATGAGCCATCAACATTATAGAAGGTGTATGGACCATTATCCCTTTTTTCTTAAACCATTTTCTCATCAATATATTTAAATAAATTAAATATAATAAAATATCATACATTCCATAAAATTACTTAATCCATCTCATATATTCCATAAGAATATATCAATTTAATATATGCGATCTCATTTAAATAAGATATGGTCAATATTTACTACATTACAAATTGACCACATGTCATAAGATACACTTTCCAAACTTTTAAAACTTATCACAAAGCAACCAAAAAGGGATCCAAAGGGGTGGGGCGTGCCACGCATATGTGGCACGTGTAGGCCCCACCTCTTGCCACATGGCGGGCCCATGTGCACTATAGGCCCCCATGAGATTTTATAAAATTTTTAAAATTAAAAAAATAATTTTAAAAGTTTATTTGAATTTTTATAACTTTGTAAAATGAATACCTTCATTTTTATAAGTCCAAAAAAATATAAATATAATATTAAAAGACTCATAAAAATTCAAATAATAAATCTAAAACAATTTCTATAATAAAATGAACACAATTATATTAATATGAAGGGAAATGGGGCACTACACCTTCAACTGTGGACTACATACCACACTTGCTTTATCGAACCAACCTAGTATTTTCCATGACCTACAGTCCAAGCAGGGGCTTATTAACGAGTCACCAAAGTCTGGCCGATGAGCCAAGGGGTCACAATCCTAGTCTGTGGATTATAGGTCCTCCCATAGAGACGAATCAAGGTCACCACGATCTGATGCGACCACAGCTCTATGGTGCATATGAGTATCTATCTCACATGCATATGTTTCACCCAAAGGTGGATATTTGGCTTTTCCAAACAATCTATCGATATGCTTGCCATGTGATGGATCATGGATGAGGTTTTGGCCCCCGTTTTTGTAAGCCTACCATCACAGATATGCGTCATACAGTCCCTCGGCTCACTCATCCAAGCATAAGCTCCGATCTCAACAAGAGATAACCCATAAACCTTCTCGGTTTATTCTCTATGCCTAGGTACCTTAGGTTTTTCAACCGACTAGCCTAGATTGTCAAGCACAATCCGGTACCTGCAAACATCATTTGCTTAGTATGATCCTTGAGGGATCACATTGCCACTGAGTTTATGTTCCACTAGAATAAATATTTTTCATTAATGGAAGCTGGAAGATAAGAATGATTTTGGTTCCACTTCACTGTGCAGAGTTTAGTAGAAAAAATGTAGAATTGTTGATGCAAAAGGACC